GATCCGATGCATTCGCTGAATACATAGGGTGGTCAGATCGTTCTGTCACGAATACAAAGGAGGATTCAGTAGCGAATGTGAAATATAACAATTTATTAGGAAAGGTCCCAACCAGACAAAAGGCAAGAGTCAAATAAAGCATGTGTAGGATATAGTCACTCTTGGTAGCGCAGGGACGCAAATGGGCACCCGTGGATATCCCGGGAACATACGATCCGTGGGCAAATACTGGAACCGAAATCCAATGAGACGAAGGAGAGGAACAGGGAACTTGAACACAGCGGGAACACCAAACGATCTGACAACACAGGACGGATAGCACAGGTGTTAAATAGCTGAGCTGATGAGCTACAGCTGGCGCTGATCAACCAGTCAGCAGCAATCACCGACACACCCACTCACACACACACATACACACAGAGCGAGAATGAGTCAGTGAACCCATAAACCGTGACAACTGCTCCCTTGTAAGGTAAAATATGTTTCTCATGTTATTGTAATAATTATAACAGATCAATAAGAGCCTTTTTCCAGAAGGATGTTGTTTCGAGACCAAATATAATTTCATATTGGAGTCAGTTTGTAAGTGATGTTGACTGGAAAAAAGTCTGGCTTCTGCCCAATCGCTATCTCTTAACAAACAAGGTTAAATAAGTGTCTTTTAAACTCCTTCACAGAATATACCCTGCTAAACATTATTTAACCTTGTTTAAAAAAAAAGGTATAGATGACAGTTGTAGCTTTTGCAAGCAGAAGCCAGAGACAGCTGTTCATTTATTTTGGCACTGCCCTTATGTATCTTTTTATTTGGCAAAGCTGATCGTCCAGAGTCTCGTCACGTCACAGCTGATCGTCCAGAATCTCGTCACGTCACAGCTTGTATTTTTTATTTTATTTTTATTTTTCGCAACTTGTATTTTTATTTTATTATTATTATTTTAGCGCTGTCATGCAATATATGCATTGTGTGTGTGTGTGTGTGTGTGTGTGAAGATAAAGTTTGCCAGAAAACACTACTCATTTAGTCAGTTTAACAGCTGATAGGCTTGATTCTCTGTGGCAACATAATAATAATAATAATAATAACAATAATAACAAATATCAATTACACACATCATGCACCTTCTTTGAGTTTTCAGAGCTCGTAAACATAAAATTCATTGGAGGACTTGAATGCACCATATGGTTCTAATATGCATCCACACTTTAGCATGATAGGCCTATTGCCTGAACAAAAGTGTTCTAACTGCACAATGTTGCCCTGAGGCAACAAACAAACAAACAAAAAAACACAGTTTTAGTATATAAATAAAAACAAAATAAGTATTTTAATAATCAAACATACTTATTTACATATTGACGCACATGCATATATTTTTTATATAAAGATATTTCATTTTAAACATGTTAAACAGTGCTATTTATTTTACCAATTTATGGCACTGTGTCCCATGCAGCTTTGCTTCCTAAAATGACTGCTCCATCCCCAAACAAAAGGCTACACCCACTTCAGCCCATCATTTTATTGAACAGACATGTCAGGTGATATTATTTGTATATATTTTTTTATTAAAAAAATTAAAGGGGGGGTGTGAGGTCCAAAAAAGTGGTTTGTTGCCTGAGGGCAACACTATGCCATAGAGGGATTCGTAGGAGATGTTATTTGTTATTGTGTGTGTGCCACTATATATATATATATATTAGGGATGCACCGATACCACTTTTTCCAGTACTCGCCCGATACCGATACTTTTATTTTTGGTACTTGCCGATACCAATATTTTTATTGCATTTGTACATTTTTTAAATATTGGGTACAGAAACCAAAAGAGTATGTATAATGTTAGTTGGTTAACTTCATTTATCAAATAGATACAGTCAAACCAAAATTTATTCAGACACCTTCAACATTTCTCACATTATCACATGAAACTTGCTGCGATTTATATTCCAAAGCCACTCATATACTGTAATGCAGAAACACTCAAGCAAGCAAAACATGCACAACGCGTGCACATATTTGTACTGGTGCAGAATGAGAGGTAGAGATGGGCGATACCACTTATTTTGTTTTCGATACGATACCGATATTTTTCAAGGCAGTATCGTCGATATCGATACCGATTCGATACTTCTGAACTAAACTTTTAAATTATGAAGTTTATTAAATTATTAAGTTACTAAGAGTAAAATGGGTAATGATAAGCACTTAACTTTGTTTAAAACGCATTTTAACATTCAATACGCCTTAATTGTAACTTATTAGGTTATATTTTTGCTTACACATGGTTCAAATATGTTTTTTGTTTACACATGATTCAAATCTACAAATACTACAGTTGAACTATGGTCACTTTAGTAAAACCATGGTTTATTTTCATAAGGGACTGCCAGCGACAGGCTGTTGCATGCATAAAATGCAACCTTTTTATTCTGACAGTGTATGATTTCTATTAACATTACAGAATAGAACATGATCAATATTATCTTTCAACGACTCAGAAGTGAGTGAACGCTCTCTGTGATTGATTAGTTCTGTCTTGCAACATTTGCGTGTTCAGACGAGCAGGAAAATAGTTTTATCCTACTCGCTAACAAAGGTTATTCGTCCAATTCAATGCATATTGTACGCATTATTATTTTTTTGTTAAATAAACAAAATCACTGGTAAATGAAACACACCTTAGTATCGATATTTTTTGTTTGAGTATCGATTCTTTCGAT